AAAGCTATGACCAAAATTTTCGGTAGAACTTCACAGTTCAGGAGAGAGTAGATGATACATTCAAGGTGCTGAAAGAAAAACAGGTAAGAATAATTTACCCAGCAAAGGTTCAGAAATGAAAGAGCTGTAACTTTATTCCCACTTGGGGATGGGGCCAGTGGCGAGGAGGGGCCATCATAGTTCTGAGCAGAACAGGACCTTAGAGCCAAACACCCAGACAGGCCACATGTATAGCGAGGCCAGGGGCATAAGGTCAGGTAAGTTGCTGTGCTGGGTGCAGACCCATGTACCCTGCAGTACTCACATCTTCACATGCCTGTCCATCACCTAGAACATCCAGCCTGAGGGCTGTATATTTGGTCTGGCCCTGCCAAGGAAACTACAGGTGGGACTCAAAATTCAGTAAAGCTAGGAGCTTTTTTCATAGCAACATAATTTTTCAGTTGTATGGCTTGTGAATGACATTATAAATATCTAATTGCCCTTGGCAGAAAAAAGGTTCCCCACCCCTGAGCTAGAGCCTGCCCACAGAGCCAGGTTTGCAGCTCTTCAGGATGTTAAGTGTGGGGCCAGGACCAACTCAGGATGGGTGGGGCCACTGTGAATCTTTCTTTAGAGCCTTGGTTGAGGTTCTTCAGTGATGGGTGTGGGACCCGGATGGGTGGGGCTCCTAAGTCTGCCAGGGAAGCTCCTTCTTGGGGCACTGCAGCAAGGTCAGGGACCCTCCCAGATTCTAATAGTTTTCTGGGCTTCTGAGGTCCATTGCATTCATGCCATGTATTCTGGCCAGGGGGCTGTTGGTTTTGTGTTAGCTCAGCCCTCAACTAGTAATTGTCCATCTGAAAGGGAAACAGCCCCTGCCTCCTGGTTGCAAAGCCAGTTCTCTGGGGAGCTTTCTTCTTTTGTAGAATCAGCAGAGATGTGGACTGTAGATGGAGGAGTGATGTTATCTAAGTCCTTCCCTATTTGTAGCAGCTTCTGGAGATGCCTTGAATTGACCTGGGCTGGAGAGCCCAGGCCTAAGGGGCTTCAGCCCATTGCTCACCTGGACACAGACTCCTGGTGTGGCTGATTTATTTCTCTGAGCCTCAGTTTGCTCACCTATTAAATGGGACATCATAGTTTTGCCAAGGAGCTCAAATCAATAAAAAAGATCTTAGTAACCTCTAAAAATGTTATATAATACTGTTTTTAAAAGTGGGCAATAAAAGCTGGTGGACATTCAACAGCCATACCAGGCATGGGAAGTGCTACCCTAGGAAGTGAGTTGATCAGGGGGACCTGAGCCTCTATGAAGGGCCCTGAGACCAAGTTCAGTGGGAGGTATGGCCTGGAGGGGGGGTGTGATAGGTGTTATTTCCTTCTGACCATAACTAATTTTGACCCCCACTCTCTGGACACCAACTGGGTATCCCACAACTCAATTCAATTCTGACACTAATTACTCAGAGTTAATGAAAGGCCCCATGGGCTTAAGGGCTCAGTCTGACAAGACTGCTCTCCACTCAGATCCCAGCTCCCCACCTTTCTGTCCAACCTGGCTAAAATTCAGAGGCCTCCATGACCCCTCTTAGATTTAATAATTATCTAGAATAACTCACAGGACTCAGAAAAACACTACTTTCTGGTTTAGTCAAAAGGATATTAACTCAGGAACAGGCAAATGGAAGAGGCGCATAGGACAGGGTTTAGTGAATTTCATGGAGTTTTCATCACTGTATTATGTAGGCATGGCTGATTGCCTTCATCTCCCATCCCTCACCATGCCTTGGGTTTTCTGGTGACCAGCCTCCATTGTGAAGACAT